TACTAGCTCAAGATCATCGCCCACGCCTACGGCAGCGGCAGCGGCAGCGGCAGGCACACTGTCGACGACTGTGAAGCAGAACGCAACGGGGCAAGCGCACACCTCGATACTACCGAACGGACAACCGGTGAACGCCAAAACATTACGCGTGTGGCAGAAGGGTGGTGTACCAGTGTTGCCGCCAGTCACCGCGCTGAAGCGAGCGCTAACGAGCACTAATCGCAACTCACCGGACGAGGGTTACCAGGAGGGTTGCGGTACGGATGTGTAAAATCAGCGAGCGAACGGTGGGACAGCGGAGTCCTCCTGCGCTGCAGACTAATAAGAAGACTTGCAATTACTAATATTTTGTAAAAAAATTTATCCTAGTATAATATTTTATTTCAAAACATATCTAGGTATAAACGATATTTTGTGTGTATATTTTCTAATTCTTTTTTTTTTAATTTTTCGTCCCGTAAAGCGTTTTTTTGTATATAATTTTTGTTATTATTATTATTTTTTTCAAATCAGACTTCAGAATTTGTTTAATTATTTAGAGATTTTTGTACTGGGTAGCTGCTCTTCCAACTCACTCGTAAGCAATGTATGCGTGCGTTGGACCGTACGTTCGCGTAACTACTACTACTGCGGCTAGCAAGTGGTACAAAAATTTAATGTGATAGTGTTTGAGTAATTTATAACTGAAGATAATAATCGAAAAGAAAAAAAATAAACGAAAAGAATAATATAAACAAGTAAAATTAAAAAAAATATATATATATATATATAATGTTTTGTCACAAGATATAAATGCATAAGTCACTTAGTAAATGAATTTCGAATGCATAACTACAAGTATACTTTTAGGGTTAGTGTAAATAAATAATTATAATTAATAAGTAATGTAAGAAAACTATATAATAATAAGTTGTAGTAAAACATACTAAACATAAGATAAATAAATATGAATCGCAGTGTTTCAAAGTTGTGAAAATATGTATAAAAAGAAAAAAAAACCCAAAACAAACCCAAAAAAAATAAATTGCGAAAATTCAAAATTAAAACGAAACGCTCGAGTTATTATTAAAAACAAAAAGTTGACTGACTGAAATTGGTGTACTTAAGAAAGTTAAAATGTTTATGCAAATGAAAATTTATGTGGCGAAGTTTGTGTCGAATGCTGGTCGAGCGCATAGAATGCGGCTGTGACTGAATTGTGGGCGCTTCGCTGGTCGTGGCAGAACTAGAACCATGCCTCACGCAGCGTAAGTTAAAAAAATAAAAATAAAACAATAATATCTTTCCGTTACTGCATTGCCAGTGCTTCTTCATCTTTTTGAAACCTCATTTGCATACTTACAGAACAAAGTTTTCCTGTTTTTAATTTGCCAAGTTGTATTTTGCATTGCGTAACAATATAAGAGGTCACCCGATACTTATGCTTACCAATGATAAGTGAAAGCGAATAGGCGTCTTCCGGTTACAAATTGGATTTGAATAATAAGTACAAAAAAAATCACAGCTGAAAAGTGTTTAGCATAAAATTCACACACACAAAAAAATTTTAAAGATACTCCCCAAAAGAAAAATGTTCTGCATTTATTTTGGCAATTTGTTTAACTTAGGAAAACACAAAAACTAAAATGACTAAAGTTTTGCGCATTTCGAATCTTCAAGCTGCAAATTCAATGTTGAGCTGAAAATTTTTCGAATGAGCTGGCTTGCAGAAATAAGCTATATGCTGAGAATCTCTGATTTAAATTACAAAACATACACAACGTTGTTCAAAACAGAATTGCGAATTAGCGGTAAATTTATAAATTAACGAAAAAAAAACATTTTTTTTGGTATGTCAGTAATGTGAACGTTATGTGTTTAACAAAACAAGTTACGTTTCCTTGATTATAGAAAAAAAATAATAAAAGTCGGATCGAAAATATAAGTTATTTTCGAAATTTCAATGTTAAAAGTCAGTCGAAAACAATTTGTCTATTTAGCATTCGTATATGAGCAAATCTCACGAGTTGTGTTTTTTAGTGTCGCTCACTTCTCTTGGCAGAAAAAAGGCCTAAGCATTTTTTTTGCATTTATTTCAATCAATGGAGAAATCAGTACATTAAAAAATAAATCAAGTATTTAAACAATTTTAGCCTTTAAATGTTTATTTAGGCGGAAAAGTACTGAAATTACTCATTTTTTTATAATTTTTCATAATTGTTTTTTTTAATAACTTTAGGAAGTTTTCAAATAGAATGTTCATATTAGAGGCAATGGACGTTGGCAGCAGATACAATATATCTGATAAGTTCCAAGAGTGTGCCACGAAATTTAAAAAAAAGAGCAGCATGCGGAATATCTGTCGCGGATATCTTGTAATCTTTGAATTTTTTTTTTTTTTAAAGGTTAAGTTTTATTTTTATATTGTGCTGAAAAACAAAAGTAAAATTTTAAATTTTATTTTTTACCGAAAAAAAATAAAAGTCATATTTCAACTTTTTTTTTGACTAAAAAAATAAAAGTAAAATTTAAACTTTCTTTTTGACTGAAAGAGGTCAAGTCAAAATGTATTGACTCTTTTGGAAAAAATAATAACAATTACGGTCTCTGAAAGAAACATATCAACAAAATTTTCGTCTTGTTGTTTTTTTATTATCAGAAAAAGTAAAAAAAAAAAATATTTTCTCTCTTAATCATATTATATGGCTATATAGAACATGTTCTGAAATTTTTTTTAAGGAAGCATATTCTAACAAAATTTATAGCCATTTATGTGTCGGTGGCAAAACTTTTGTAACTGGCCAAATTAAACTTTTTCATATATTTTTCGGTAAAAGTTAGTGTGACAAGAATTTATCACTGATAAAGAATAGAACCGTTGTAACGATTATTTGTTTTTGATAATCAACATACGAAATTTCTTTTGATGTCATGTTGGAATATATAAGATGTAAGGAAAGCTTAAACTCCGTTCTTCTATCACAAAAGATAAAATACTTTATGGATTTGTTTATATTTGAAAAGTTTTTAAAATGCACAGATAAGGAAAAAGTCGAACATTTCCGCATATTTCTACTTTAAAAATTTAAAAATAACTGTGTATATTTTTTTTAATTGTTTTTGTTGCAACTTATGTTTATAATAGTCAAATTTTTACCTTTTATGCTAAAAGAGAAATGTTTCGCTTTTTCTTACATCTTATTCATAAGATTCTATCACACTCCGTTATTCCATTGTTGATGTTTAAAATAGGCAAAACACTAGTATTTTGGAGCTTTAAAGTCAAAATATCTCAAAAACTGAAGCCAATCTAATTTTTCTAATTCCCGATTCAGGTTATACGGAAAAATATTCTATAAGAATCGGGGTTTACTCTTTTTTTTTTTTTTTTTTATTTTCAATTAAAATATTTTTTTTAAATAAATTAAATTAAATTTTCTTAAATTCTTATTTCGCTTAAGTATTCTTGCAAAGGCTCGTAACTGTCTTTTGTAAAACTGCCAGAATACCCATTGGCTGGCGCTTCAAAGGATCTTTCATCGACTGGCGTTGTAGGACTTCTATGTCCCACAATTTGAATTTTATTTATTTTGCCGGTTTTATCATTGCCTGGCGTTCGTTGCCACCGGTTTTGGATCTGAATACTTCGATCAACATCCATTGTTGTTCTTGTTGGCCGGGGCTGATCATGCTGTGAAATTGTCTTTAGAATATTATTTCTTTGCGGTTGACTTTGTGCAAACCAAATTTTGTGTTCTCCCAAATTGTAGAGCAAAGGTTGCTCATATATTATTTGATTCGAGTTCCCGTGATTTTGCAAAAGCATTTGGTAAATCACTTGGTGAAAGTGAAAATAAAATATTTGAGAAATCACAAAATGGTATCAAAATTTAAAACTGTCCCATGGTTTGACAAAAATCGTTCACGCCCTGAGTAACATTGTTTCGTAAAATCGTTAGTGCAGAAGAATTCCTACGCTGCCTTTCATATAAAAGCTCATAGCAATATTAGCTGATTGCCTCCAGTTATATTTGTTTTGCTTACTTGAAAATTGGTTATCATTATTTAAGGCCTCCAGGTTTGTATTTCAACACTTCACTTATTAAAGACACTTTCATTTATTTTTTAAATAAGGACACTTTTCAATTTCACGGTTTCCAGCACAATAATCCCAATAATATAATCTTTCATACTTAGGACCATTCGGATTATTACCCATTTCAAAGCTTACCATTTTTCAGCAACCTGAATCATTGTTATAGTTTCTGATTCTAATGTCTCCCGGTTATAGCAATCTGCAAACGTGGCTTTTTTATCTTTTCCTGTATATTTAAAGACTGCTGATTCAATAAAAGAGGGGTTTTGTAACAAAACAGTCTTCTCGTTCCCGCACATAAAATCGGCTCCCTTACTTTACAGAATGTTACTCACTCTACTGTTTCTAGTTGAATTAGTAGCAAAACAAAAAATTCTTCATACTAGATATTCCGTGGCATTACCTTAGTTTGCGTAATTTTTTTCACGCTGATATCAACGATACCAGGCGCAGGTAAAAAAATAAAGATATAAAAGGTTTATTTGATTTGTTTATTTAAATTTTTTATTATCACTATATTCTTGAAACCCAAAAGTAGATCATACTAAAATATGTATATCGAATTAAAAATAAATACTTACGATTTCTAAATAATATAAATTTTTTTACCATTAACTATGCATTTTTTTCAAAAACGGTTATTTCATGAAAAAATAATATTTGTTCGTTTTTAGTGGTTTGGTTTAAAAATAAAAAAATAAATTTAATTATGTAACTGAAAGAGTTCGTAAGATATTAATATTTGAAAAATAGAAAAAATTAATTTCAACCTAGAACTTCTTTTTTTTACTTGCGCCAAATAATTTTGGCATGGTTGAAATAAGCGTAAAAAGTTCTATTGATCTGCATTTTTCGTTTATGCATAGCTGAATAGTTTTTCTAATTGTATACTTTGCGTACTTTTTTTTAGTACCTTTCTACTACCGTTTTTGCAGAAGGCGATCACATTCTCCTACTTCCAAAATACAAATCGCACACCGTCTTCAAAAGAGTCACAACTCAAAATTTGGCATTTTTGAAATTATGCGCTAAAAATGTACACAGAGCTTTTATTTACCTCTAATCAAATGCTGGAGCAAATTTGTTAAAAAAAACCTAAGGCAAAGTCGCCCTTGCCCATATGGTTAGCATGTGCTACGAAATAGTTTTTCGCATTTTCTGACGAACGTATTTAATTTGAGTTGTGACTCTTTTGAAGACGATGTGCGAAATCTAGATAAAGGAGTGTAAAATTTGAGCTGACACAAATATCCTTGTTTTAATGAATTATGGACTGCTGTCTTGCATTTAATTCTTCCCTCATTACTACCTTCATCAAAAAGATCCTTTTCCCTAACAACCTTTTACATGAACTCATCAGAATTTTTTTCTATTTATAAATTGTTCACAATTCCATCTATTTCGTCGTAGTCTAAGTCAGGTGCTAAAGCGTCCGTCATTTTACAAGCTTTTTAAAGATAATAATAAAATTAAATAATCTTACGTTAATTAGACAGCTCCATTTCATTGTTGCTGGCACCGTTGTCAATTCGTTCTTCTTTCTTGCCACTGCTGCTATGTTGTTGTTCTTTTCATTTATCTCTGCTGTCACTTTGTTGTTGCTATTGACACTGCTGCTATATTGTATTTTTTATTTATCACTGCTGTAACATCGCTGTTGTTCCTTTTCTTTACTCTGCTGTGTTACTTCGTTGTTATTCTTTCTCGTTTTCATTGCTTTTCCAATTTTTTCTCCTTTTTTAAGTTTTTACAATTTTTTCTCCTCGTGTGAGGATATTTTTCCTTCTAAGTGTTTCAAGAATTTTTTCTCCGCCTGTGAGGAGCCTTGTAAGTTGACCGACACTTTTCGGGGGGTCCACGTTGGGAGCCACTTTACTTTTTGTGAGCCCGGTGTACGGTTTAAAAATAAACGTAAGT